TTAAAAAATTGTACAAAAATAATTCAATAAAGTCACGCTTATAAAATTTAGCTAATCTCATAGAAAAATGATTAATTTAAGAGATAAAATTATTTTTCTTAAAAAAAAAAGGCATTCTTAATAAAAATACCATTCTTAAACTTATCGATTAAATTATTTTGTGCCTTTCAAAGATCGATTATTAATCGTTCCCTGCCATGTGTGTATTTTAAAATTCCCCAACCAATATTCCACCATACCCGCTCCAAAGAGGGTTCAATATCTCCCAAAACAAAAGAAGAGTGAAATAAACCTCTTAAACACCACACCTACTCTTTAAGATACGATGATATCAACGATGATTTAGCGACAGACGATTATACAGATTATCTTTGGTCTACAGGAATTACCAAACGCTAGAGACAACTCGAATGGAATTCGAAACTGAAGCAAAATTAAAACCAGTGGCATTGAGGCTTCGCACAAATAAAGACAAACATTAATCTGAATATCTGAAAATAAAGTAAAGATCAGTTCAAAATTAAACAACATTTAAGCGGCCCCGGGCACAGCTGCTCCTCGGGTGTCACACCAACAATTTTACGATCCATTTCGAAAATAAAAGCCAAGAAGAATTAGCATAGAAATAATTCAATTAGTCGCATTTTTGGACCGCCATTAGCACAAAAAACTTACTTAATATCGGAACATAATCAACAACAAAAAAAACAAAAACCTTTGCAAAAATCTAAAAAAAATAAACCCAAACCATCAAAAAATCAAGAACTATTAGAACTTTTACGATTGGCACACAGCACACAGCCGGACGTCTTTTTTTTCGCTAAAACAAAGTTTATTTGGTGGCTAAATAAAAAAAATAATAATAATATAGGTGTTCTGAGCAGAGTGTGCGCATAAATTAGAATTAGAGTATTCGAATTTGTTCCACACTGGTTGGATCGGTTCGATAGAGTGTTAATAGGACTTTTCTTTCATAATTCCAGACAAGTTTCTTATCTGAAAGTGCTGTGAAATGTATTTTACATACAAGTTATGGTTATGATCGCTGTCGCTGTCGCTGTGGCTGTGGCTGTAGCTCCTCCCAAAAAACCATATCTAATGAGGCGGATCAGCACTATTTTTATGTCCCCCAAAATGTTGCGTGTCCGGATTGGCCACTTGTTTGGGTTTGGTTTTGGGTTTGGGTTCGACTTTTGGCCATTTAAAATGATAATATCTCGATAAAGATGGTCAGAATTATGGTCATGGTGGAGGGATACTGGTTATGTTATTGCTGTGTGATATAATATTCTATAAAAACTAAGACTAAATGACACACCACTCTCCCTTCCCTTCCCCTCCCCTCCCGTCTCCTCTGCTCCGCCTAGAATGTTGTTCTATTTTAAGCGCTATTCTGTGTGAAGTTCAAGGAACTTGCTGACGCACATACAATGCCTCCACAACGGTCAGACTTTGAGTGTTCCAAAATCTACGGGTGGTCTGACATAACTGGATGATGGATTTTTTGGTTAACAAATTGAAAGAAAACACTGTTTAGAATATCTTTAGAAATTCCTTTTCACTTTCAAAGAAAGCACAAGCCAACGAAACTCGTCTTTTGCCAAGAACTTTCTTTGCCAGGAATATGGGCAAAGAAATCTGTCCGCTTTCGGGCGTTTGAAATTGAAATTCATTCAACTTTTAGCCATAAAGAAATGTTTCAGCTTTTGCGGGATGCATATATTAATGGATTAAAACTTGCCAAATCGAAATCCCAAGCAAAATCCTTGTTAAATCTCGTTTAAAGCACATTCTGAAAATACCCACAGCAAGAAAACAAGAATTCAAATAAATATAAACCATTAATTAGGAAACATCAGCCGGCCAGATGCCACTCTCCCGATCTGATCTTTAGGATCTATCTGTGGCGGATCTGTGGCGGACCTTTTAGGCGGATGATTAAAGCGGACAAGTTTATTTAGTAGTCCAGCAGTAGTCGCTCCAAATGGGTTTGCTTCTCCTGAACCAATTTGTGTAAATTGTTATTCGAATGTCGTTCTATTTGGCAAACAAAACGAGACCCAAACAAAAAATGTCTATAAACTTTTTAATGACCTTCGCGCGGCAGAGACTCAATCAATATTTATAGATTACCAGCAGAAGCCACAGCCACCAGCCACCAACCACCAGCCGCCAGACAAGACAATAAGTGGATATTTAGAGGAAAGTTTGCTTTGCGTGTGGCACAAACAATAATCAATCTAATGGACCATTGCTTATTTATTATAAAAGAGTTTATTTTTAAGAGTTTTGCGTAATCGCAGGCGCATACCCGCCATACTCTCGGTTTCGATTTGAGGTTTTTCTCATCATCAAAATACCATCGAAAGTCTTAACTCTTAATTTCAATTTCAATGTAGATGGTTGGTTACGCGTTCATTGACGTTCGATTTTGATTGAATATATTATGCAAAATGTTGGCAATTAATCTCTGTGGCCAGCCAGCCAGCAAGCCAGCCAGCAGTGCCAGTGCCTAAGAACAGGTCTATTGCCTTTTGTTAATGAAGCAGCCAGCCATCGGTTCTGTCGCGTTTTTGGAAATTAACTTTTTTAGATTCTGGTTCTTTGCATAGCATTCATGTTCTCAACTGTACCGTAGCGTCTGGTATCGTATGTGGATGGATAGCCGCATTTTATGCAAATGGAAAATCTTGAAACATCTTTGAAAACGAAATTAAGCAAAAATTTATTCTATCTTCTGTTTCTATATTTTTTGTTTTTTTTTGTTTTTAATTTTAATTTATTTGCTTAAATTTATTTCTCTTTATATATATATATATTATTACCCATACATAGTTGTGTTATAATCTTCCGTATTTCGGACAGTTCGGAAGATTGTTCATGTTAATTCCCCATGAAATAACGAATCTTAAATCAAATTTAATTACAAGACTGCTCCAAAATGCGGTGTCAATCAAGCCTGGGGGCAAACGACTCGACAATTTTCACACACAGTTTAAGTTTAGTTTAAGCCGCATAGTTCTTAATCCGTTCCGTGTAATAACTGATTTAAGCGGCCAGGCAATGCCTCTTAACGGCATATGAGGTCATACCGAGAGTACCGTGGGAGGGTGGGGTAGGGGGTAGAGGGGTAGAGGGGGGGGATTGGCATAATAAAATCCGTAAATAAATTCGCGTTTAGCACATATCTTAGCTGGACAGCCCCAAGGCTGCGATTGAGTCAGTCAGTCATGAGACAGGCATCCGGTTTGCTTTGAATTTGTTTTGTGCTAATCAGATCTGTAGCGAATCCCCATCCAACCATTCAACCATCCATCAATCCGAACTATCTTCAGGCCGATTTCACGCCTCAACAAGTCCTCACGAACTCTGACAAAGATCTCTCTCTCTCCATCTCTCTCGTTGGCGGTCGCTTCCTTTCCATAATGTCATTGCCAAGTCAGGTCACAAATATGTGGGTGTGTGGTCGATATTTCTCTCTTAATTATTCCCTTATAAGTCGGCGGTATATTAATATATTTCAATTTGTTATGGTTCCCATTTAAAAGAGTTTTTAAGTGTTCGAATAACCCGCTGCCCAGATGTGTTGACAAAATGATCTAATACTTTTGTTTTGCGGGGTTTTTCGAAAGGCCAAAAGAGCCTTCAAAAGATCAAATACTGTATTTCCATGGGAGTTAAATGAACAATTAATCAAGTGGAGTGGTTGTCACAGACATACCATTGAGAGACCTTTAAAATATTACATTTTAAACGACTGTAATGAGCATAATTAAGGGGACTTACATTGGTTTTGGCTGTGGATTGCGATTAGGATTCATTGGTAGCCAATACTGGGAGTATCAATTGAATTCTTTTCAAATGAATACAGAACTCCCTATCGATTCCCTGTCTTCCCTGCACTTTTGTTCTCAACTAAAATTTCCCAATTGAATGACGTGAAAACCAGACTTCAAAATCGTTTGGCTTGACAGACAGATTCTCTTCTCCCTCCCCGCCCGCCACACGTCATAATCAGATGCCCATATCAATTGTTACTCCAGACAAGCGATGCATATCCATATCCCAGGCATTGCCTCAGAAGCTGCACACGGGACAAAAGCTTTTGGTTTTCCCAAAACAAGCAGCGCCATGGGAACAGCCGACAGCCAAAAGCCGCTTGGAAAAGCAATCATTGTTCGGATCACTCGCTCTCTGGGCGTCCGCCTTGAACTCGCACGCATCGAAATGCATTCAGATATTGTTACATATTATTATTTGTTGTTTTCTTTTTTTTTTTTTTTTTTGTATACAATAAAAACTTTATTCGCTTTGTACATCAAAAATGTTACACATATTATTATTGTATATGGGGAGGTTGTATTTGTTTTTGTTTTTGTTTAATACATTGCTAAATTCATATGTAAAACAGTGCATTGGAGATTGGAGATTGGACAAATACTAATCTATAGATCTCTATTCAAAAAAAATACATATTTCGAGTATAAAAGGGATTCTATTCTTACAAATTATTGGACGTTTTCGCTTAGGTTTCTTGTGGTTTTTGTCTGGGTAAATGGTTCCTTAATTAAGGCACTTTCTTAGCAGAAGTTTATGCAATCCAAATGGGGGGCGGGGGGTGGTGGTTTGGTTTGGTTTTGGAATGTTTTGGTCGTCGCAGGTCTGTGTTGATCAGGTAGGTGGTCAAATCTAATAGTAATATGTATTTTAAGCACTATAAACTATACCAAAAAAGCTTCTCTAATTAAGGCACGAGTGTAGTATTTCGTTGCTAGTTTCAGCCAGAGCTCTGCGACTTTTCAAAAAGTGTACTATGTATGTGGCACGGGGGGGGGGGGGGCACGGGGTAAAGGGCGGGCGGCTGTCTGTGTGTTAATTGAGCGAAAAAGTTCTTGATATGCAAATTGTCATATACTCTACATAGATAAATGAGTCACTTTTTGAGCGTCTTGCATAAATACTGCAGAAGGAAGAAGATTTCGGATACATTCAGTCTTCGTTTAGAACTCTTTTTTCTCGTCGTCGGATTGGATGGATGATTCATAAGTACCAAAAACTGAAAGTTTCTTCTGATGTGATGCTGGGTTATAGGGTATTCTCCGACTGTCTGTAGTCGTTGTCGTCGTCGTCGTCGTGTCGTCGTCGTCTGGCAATTGCATAAACATTTCCAAGTATAAAAAAAAACTATATATAATTATTATGGTGAGAATTCTTCGTAGAACTTTTGTGTTGTGTTGTGGGGACGGAATAATGTTTCTCTTGATGCTGCTGCTGCTGCTGCTGCTGTGGCTTTTGCTAAAAAACAAAGAAGGTTAAACGTCTGTGTCCATGGCTTAGATACAGCCAAACCAAACGCCACTTACCCGTAACTATCCGCGGACCAGCTCGAATCGAGTCTGCGACTCTTTGAACTGCAGGCGCTTGCGTTGCTGGACATGCGCTTCGCTGAGGAATAATGTGGCCGCCACCAGGGTCAGCACGGAGCCCACACAGGCCAGGATGAAGGACCAGCCGAACCAGTTGTTGGCATGCTCCGGCATCCAGCCATTCCGATTGCCAAAGCCGGCAAACACAATGACGGCAATGGCTGCACAGACGCCAGCGCCGAGCAGAACATAGCCCACCGATCGGATCAGTGTGATGAAGTGCTTCTGGTCGGGTCCGGCGCAAAGGAAGAACACCAGCACCCCAATGGCACTGAGCAGCATGCCAATGAAGGCGAGTGTGTAGAAGAACTGTGTGGCAATCATGAAGGCTGGCAGCAGGAATCCACGTATCTCGTCGTAGCCCGTGGTAAATGGGTCATAGACCCAGCGACAGCCCACAAAGAACCGTCGCTGGCTGTCGTCGTTGACATCCGGCAGGGAACGGAAGCAGTGCACCCACAGGCCCAGGCGATCCAGCTTGGCGCCCGTAATGCGGTAATCGCTGACCAGCCAACTGGGCGTGGCGAAGGCAATGGCGATAAAGGCGAACGCGAAGATGAAGACGCCAACGCCACAGCTGCCGGAGAGGGTGCGTCGCTTCATGTTCACGGTGGGCTGTTGATGGTGTAGGTGGGTGGGCAGATGCTCCTGGGAATCCTCGCGTGCAAAATGAGACGACTTTTGCATTCTTTGTATGGGAATTTTGTATTATTTTCTCTGATTTCGATGGAATGTTTGTTTGTTGGGCTTTGGGTGTGGACTAGGGATGGTATGTTGACAATATATTCATAAATCGATATCGATAAAGCAGTGCTGCCATCTGAAACTCTGTTAACATGTGCGCTTAACAGCACACTTTTCGCACTCAACTAAATGTAAATGGAATATTTGGTAAAAAGTTTTGGAAAGATCTTCAAATATATAAAAGTTGGTCTCTCTCCTTCCTCTACGACTCGTCTTTTACACGACGCACCAATTATTGTAAAATAAAAACATAATCTGGGTTATATTCTTCGTTAAAAAACTTAAAACTAGAAGGCCTGTCCAATGTAAATGCTAAATGTGCGTCTGGAAGACATAAATCGCGCCATCCTTATCTCTAATTCAAGGCAGCTACCGACTTTTGAGCGGCATCATCCAGATCACTGGCCGTCTGAATGGGCAGTCCCGAGTTCTTCAGGATCTCGCGGGCCTTGTCCACATTCGTGCCCTCCAGCCGGACCACCAGAGGCACGTTCAGCTTCAGCTTCTTGGAGGCAGCCACAATGCCATTGGCAATGGTGGCACAGTTGACGATGCCTCCGAAGACATTCACCAGAATGCCCTTCACTTTCGGATCGGCCGTGAGGATCTCGAAGGCCTTGGCCACCTGGGCCTCGTTGACGCCGCCGCCAACGTCCAAGAAGTTGGCCGGTGAGCCGCCGTTCAGCTGGATGATGTCCATGGTGGCCATGGCCAGGCCGGCGCCATTCACCAGGCAGCCAATGTTGCCGTCCATTGCCACATAGTTGAGGTTGTACTTGGCCGCCTCGACCTCACGGGGATCGGCCTCCTCCTCGGTGATGTCCATGGCGAAGATATCCTTCTGCCGAAACTGGGCATTGTCGTCAAAGTTCAGCTTGGCATCCACCGAGATGACCTCGCCCTTGTCCGTCTCCGCCAGTGGATTGATCTCAATCTGCACGGCATCCACGGCCTTGAAGAAAGTGTACAGCTTCTGGATCTCCTCGGCGCAACGCTGGACGGTGTCGCCCTTGAACTCCAGGAATTTGGCCACCTTGATGAGCGTGGCCTCTGGTATGGGCTTGCCAATGTCCAGCGGGACAGTCAGAAGCTTCTCGGGCGTCTCCTCGGCCACGGCCTCAATGTCCATGCCCCCAGCGGGCGAGGCAATCAGCACGGGTCCGTTGTGCTCGCGGTCCAGCAAGATGCAGAGATAAGTCTCCCGTGTGATGTTCACGCTGCGAGCGACCATCACTTTGTTGACCAGAATTCCCGATTTTGGGGTCTGTTTGGTTATCAGTCGGTGGCCGATCATCTGTTTGCTCAGCGAGAGCACATCGCTCTTGCTGCCAAAACGAAACAATTGCGAATACGTAGAGAGGAAAAAGGTCAATTAATCGTGTTATCTGTCTGGTGCTGCCGCTGTGGCCGCTTCTATATCTTACTTTGAGGTTATGTGGACGCCTCCCTTGAAGCCATTGTCGAATGTTCCCTTGCCACGGCCGCCGGCCAGTATCTGCGCCTTCACCACATACTCGGGACACTCTGGACGTGACAATTAACATCAATTAAAGCAGTGATTACATAAACTCCGACCGGTTCTTGCCGCTTACCGAAAGTCTTGACAATCTCTGCGTCGGAATTGGAGTTATCCAAGACCTTGAATTGTTGGATGGCCACGCCGTACTTCTGGAGCAGGTCCTTGCTCTGGAACTCCAAAAGATTCAGCTGACGGACCTGCTGCTGCAGCAACAACGGGGTCTACATCGGGGGATAAACAAAGAAGACAAAGGTCAACTCTCTTTTTCTTTGCGGCTTAAACAGATGTTGGGGCGCCGGGGAAACCTTATGAACGAGCTGGCGTGTGCAGGCGGCTGCTTTCATCAGGAACGACATGTTGGCTGCACTTGAGAGGCACTCGCTGTGACGGATAATTGAATTCAATTTATTTTTATGGCGCAGCGCACTTTATTGCTGAATATTTTATGCCCCGATTGTTTAAATAAACGTCGCCGCCACCGCCGTTTGCTTATCACACAAGTGCGCGAGGCTGCCAGATCGCGGAACTCTGCTGTTACCGCAACAGAACACTGTTAACATTCATCCAGCGCAGCCCTGGTCGTGGAGCAGCTGTTTTTGTGTACTTTTTTCACATTACCTCTGTGGGAACAGAGTATGACGAATAAACCGCATTTATATGATTAACGCGAGCGAGATGGTAGCCAAAGCCACAGTACAGCCTGTGCTGGAAGCCCTCCCCAGCCAGGACACACTGCCGCAGATACCCATCATCACCTCAGTGACATGCTGCTTTGTTTTGTCCCTGCTCTATGTGGGCAGCCTCTACGTGTGGAACACGAAACACAATCGGGACCATCCGGCGACCATTAAGCGGCGCTTCACCAGCGTCTCGGTGGTGATGCTCTTCGCCCCGTTCTTTGTGTGGTACTTCTCGTCGCCGGAGCTGCTCAGCAGCGAGCCCTTTGCGAAGTTGCTCGGCTTTCGCTGGGAGGGATTGTGGCAGGCTGTGGTGATTCCCTATGGCCTGACAATGCTGCTGTTCGCGGGACCCATCTTTGTCAACTGTCAGAACGAATCGATTGGATCCTACTTTGGTATGTTCTGGGAAACCTGCTGAAACCATTCCGGATTGACCTTTGCGGCTCTATCATTTAGATCTGGACTACTGGCGCGGTTGCATCCACAACATCATGTGGGTGCGCAATCATGTGATGGCACCGCTCAGCGAGGAGTTTGTGTTCCGGGCCTGCATGATGCCGCTGATCCTGCAGAGCTTTTCGCCCATGACGGCTGTCTTTATAACGCCCCTCTTCTTTGGCGTCGCCCATCTGCATCACATCGCCGAGCGACTGAGCCTGGGCGTGGAGCTGAGCACCGCCCTGCTGATCGGTTTGTTCCAGTTCATCTATACCACCCTCTTCGGCTTCTATTCGGCGTTTCTGTTTGCTCGCACTGGCCATATAGTGGCGCCGTTCGTCGTCCATGCGTTTTGCAATCACATGGGTCTGCCGGACCTGCAGGATCTCTGGCAGCAGGATATGTGGCGGCGAGTACTGGCCATCGTTCTGTATGTAGCTGGCCTGGCGGGCTGGATCCTACTGCTGCCGATAGCCACCAGTCCATCCGTCTATGGGAACACGCTCTACTGGAATGTGTAGAAATATTGTCGTTCTTATAGCTAAATTATTTTGTGTTTTCTGACTGTGGCCATAGTATGACACGCTCATCTGTACTTATGTATCATGTTTAGATATTAATTGCATATCAAACCAAATGCTGACTGCATCCATTGCACCCATTATATATAAACATGTATATCAGCAAGTCTTCCGTGCAATTTAAACAAATTAAAAGTATGTATAAATCAAAAGAATATTCAAATTTGTGCGCCCTCGACAGCCCTGGTTTATAGGAGTTGCGAGAAAACGCAACGGATATAGGATTGTGGACAGGCTCTCATGAATGCAGAATCTAGCCAGTCTCTGTTTAAAAGGTATTTCCACGATATTTTATTCAAATATATTCAAATGGCCATACTCCGGTTGCAAAGCAACAAGTCTTTAAATGACTTGACTGTTGTTTTGTTGAACTTTTTTGCTTAAACCTTGTTTTAGTCAACAAATAATAAATGGGGGTACTTAAAAGTAATTCATCTTGTAGAAAATTAATTAATCAAAAGGATAAAATTATGTGGGCAGGGCTGAGAGATCTATCTAGCCAGTAAGATTCGACGGAATATCAAAAACGAGGAATATGTATAATATAACTAGAATTCGTCAGTATATTGACGGTATATTTCAAAATTGAGACGGTATATTTTGGTATATTTCCGGGAAGTCGGATGGTATTTTTTATCGATAAAGCCGCGGTCACACTGCCACACAATGTTTAGAGAATTCAAGCAAATATGCGATAAAAAAAAGAAACGCACAGAATACGAGCGACTTAATTAGCCAACAACGCAGGACGAACACGGAGTGCAACCCAAGGATAGGCGAGCAGACACCTGGAGAGAATTCGCGAGAGAGAGAGAGTTCTGTAAGTCGTGTGCTGCTGCTGACGTCTCGGGTAGCTTGTGCCCATGACAACCAGTCGAGATAGTAATTATAGAACGTTTAACTAAGCCTCGCCTCCTTTTCTTTCATGCAACGCGTTGCAGCCACGTCAACGCTTCTGGCCGGGAACACTTATCTACGCACCCAGACACGGGAATCACGTTACGGAACGGAAGGGAAGGGACACGCACACACTCCTCCATACACGATACACGATGTATTGCCTGCAATGCCTGCTGCCGGTGCTCCTCATACCAAAGCCCACAAATCCAGCGCTGATGGAGACGCACGTGATGTTCATAGTGCTCTATCTGGTGGGATTCTTTCTGGAGCGAAAGCCCTGTACCATCTGCAGCGTGGTGTTTCTCACCGCCGTCTCCCTGATCTGCTACAGCGGCGTGGGCAACTGCATCTTCTGGGGCAACTGTGAGGGGCATCAGTGTGAGAATGGCTAGAAAAGATCGACAAGCCCAAAGCCAGATCGTAGCGGTGGCAGTAGTAGTAGGCAACGAATTGGAATTGGCGTGGAGTGCAAGAGGAGTAGGAGGAGTGCTAATCATAATAATAATTATTATAACATGAAATTACGTTCGCGTTGTTACAGCTTTACACATCCTAACGAAAAAGAAACGATATATAGGAGACGGAGGAGGGAGTTAGAGAGAGGATAATTTGCACAAAAATACAAACTGAAAAATCGGTGATACAAGAGTGAGTGAGTCCGACCAGGCGGTGTAGAGAAGGAGTATAGAATGTTGTTCTTTGTGTGTGTTTTTATTTAATTTCCAAACATTGCTCCCCAACTGTTGAGCCCCCACACCCAAGAAACATCTGTCATTCTTTAAGTGTTAGTCATTTGCGAAACAAAAAAATTGTATTTGTTTTTAAGGCTTAGACGAAACGAATTTGATTTCGAAAGGTTTTACCAATAGCGCTACAAAAACGTATTGTACATCACGTAACCCACCCCATCCCCCCCACTCGTCAATGCAACTTAAAATTAGTCATACACACTATATATACATATATACACTTAAAGCTAATTATACAGAAAACAAAACAAAAAACAAGGATAATTGTAAAGATAGTACTGGTATGAGCCAAAGGAAGCTGCTGCTGACATCGGTTGTTCGTTCCCCCTGTTGCCCCCCGTCGTGTGTGCACATGCAAATTGTATATAAACATACGGATATATCTTACACACTGATTATTATATATGTATACTATATATAACTGATAAATATATATATGTATGTATGTATATTCTTAACTGATTAACAAAACAACAAAAAGTATGTAAAAAAAAACAAAAAATGTTCGATTTTTGCGAATTTGTATGATTTTGAGCCGCGAATGAAAACAGAAAGCAAGTCTAGAAACATAGAAAATAAAATATATAAATGATGCTATTAGTTTTTTAAGTATTTTGTCCACAATAGTAGATTGTGGGAGTCTACACGAGGCACACCGGGATGGGTTCGGATGCTCGATGAGAAATTATGAACCTTTTTAAAAAAATGTGTCAAAATATTATTACTACTGGAGCTCAGAAACCTTACTGAAGAATCCCATAGTTTCCAGCTCTTTTCTATGCTAATTTCCATCCATAATACTCTATCCGATCAGGGACTAGGAAACTAAGGAACTTTGACAGCACAAACCTTATTGCAGAAGATTTATGATATAATCATCTGAATCCCATAGTTTAAACCTGTTTCTCGTTCATATTTTATTGAAATTCCTTTTTGTCATCCATAATACGCAGTGTTCCCTTTGTATTTATTAGATGTATTCGATTTGTGGTGTAAGTATATGGGTTTGGCACCCAGAAAGAAGCGTATCGGACCCCATTAAGTACATTTATTCTTGATCCGTCTGTTCGTCTTGTTTGATGCCTAGCTCTCGGAGACTATAAAAGCTAGAGCAATAAAATTTTGTTTGTAGACTCCTGGGATATCACACAAAGAGCGAAATTCTGTGGCAGCCACAATTTTGATACGAGAAAACCGAAAACTCAGAATCATAGAATAGAATCATGGCCATGTCTAGTAGATTGCCGAATATGGATGCCGATCAGATCGGATTATTATAGCCAGTAGAAATAAATGAAATTGCAGTGGATTCGCTACCCCGTCTCGCGCTCGCGCTCTCTCTCTCTCTCTCTCTCTCTCTCTCACACACATACACACTCTTCCTCGTGCAATGTGCGCCCCTTGGCGGAGGGGAGCGGCTGTTGCTAGTTTAAAAAGAGAGAGAGAAAGAGACAATTGTAAAGAAAAATTGAAACATATACAATACAGAGTGAAAGCATTAACGTTAGAACATAACTAGCGGTCGTGGTTCCTCTCTTTCTCTCTATGTTTTGCCATATCCCATGACAAGTGCGAGCAAAATGAAGAGATCCTGAAGAGAGAGCGATAGCAAAAGACAGCATGCATCGGCTGCGATACCGATTCCGGCGTTAACGTATAATTACGTATAAAATATATTGTATAAGTTACATTAATCATAAGCCCACACATATACCATATATAGTCTCTCTAAATATAGAGCCGCGTCCCTTGCCGCGTCTTTAGCTTCAGTCTTGAGAAGAGACTCCAGAGAAGGCTCAGGAGTATTTCTCCATTCCCCACTGACTTTTAAACTCCCAATTGATTGTTCTACATTTCTACGGGCGGACATTTTCTTTGAAGAACGTCCAAACCCGAACCAAACTTTTGCAGACCTTGACTCTCGTTTTGGCTAGGCCTAAGGGCAAAAGAAAAAACCACCAAAATTCCCATTTTGATTTCCAATTATCCACAATTTTATTCGCTTCAAAATGTGTGTATGTGTATGTTTGGTTGTGTATATATATATATATATATGTATATATATTTATGTGTATAAAATGTACAAATTTCTCACATCGTTTTTTTTTTTTTTTGCTGCTTAGTTTTTTTGTTTTTTGGAATTTGATTAAATCAAGGGATCGGATCAAATCGGATCAGCAACAGATCTCAGCAGACGCTCTTTCTTAATTTACTAAACAACTACACAAGACAATTAATTCATTAAAAATACGATAATAATTTATGTACAAAAATTTCCATCGGATTTATTTTTTTTTTTTTCATGTGTGTGTGTGTGTATGCAGTGTTTGTGTGTGAGAAAAACAAAACTGTAGACAATTCAAAACAAAAAAAAAAAAGAGTACTGAAAGAAAAACTGCATTGGAAAAACTTTCACAATTTTCATTCATTTCACATTTTGGAGATTCACAGGAGATTTGCTTCTTTTTTTTTGGATTTGGATTGTGGAATGTTTGCTTGTTTGTTTGTTAGACACGCAGATACATAAAGATATATCAGATATATCGGATATATATAAATCATATATAAAATATACAAATATACGAGGGGGAGACATATAGAAGAAGGCCACAAAAAATATGTTTGGAAAACTCTTTAAATCTTTTCTTTTGGTTTTTTTTTTCTTTCTTTCTTTTGTTGCTTGCTTGATGTTTTTCTTTACTTTTGGGGTTTTTTTTATTGGGGACAGAGGCTGCTACAAATTGAATTCGTGGGGGTGGGGGGGTGGTTTGGTTGACTCCTTGGCTCCTCCTTCTACTCCTCCTTGGTTTCTCGTCGAGATTCGATTCGCAGAGCAGCAATCACAGGCGTGGTCTTCTTGTTACTTAAACGGAACGAGGCTGGACGACTGTCGAAGGGATTTAGAGAGTGGAAACAACATTTAGTCAAGGGATCCAAAGGGATCTAAGGGATGGATGAACTCACAGTGTGGTCGCTGCGACTCTTCGGCGGCGGCTCCTGCCTCGATCGCCTGCATCATGGGCACGGGAATGCGCACGGGCTGGGCCAGGCTGCGGCCATAGACCATGCGGCCGAACTGCAGCTGTGGTGGCTGATCGGGCATGGGTGGGGTCATGGTATCACGTGGCTGCTCGGGCAGTGGCTGCAGGATCAGGCGCTGCAGGCGCATCTGGGGCTGCTGCTCCGGCTGCTGTTGCTGCTGCTGCTGGTGCTCGCTGGTCTCCTGCTGGTGCTGCTCCGGCTGCTGCTGCTGCTCGGGCTGCGACTGGGGCTGCGTCTGGGACTGGGATTCGGTGGTGGCCTGCTCCGAAGAGCTGGACGAGACGTCAGTGCGCTCATCCTCCTCGCTGGAGGCATTGCCCTCGTTGGAGTCGGTGTTCTCCTCGGCGGCCAGGCGACGCAGTTCGTCGGTGATGCGGTCCTCGGCCATGCGCTGGATGCTGCGCAGATCATCGGCGGTGATGCCCACACGCTGCAGGGCCATGCCCAGGGGCATGTGCTGGATCTGGATCTGTGGCATCTCGCGCTGCTGCTGCTGCTGCTGCTGCTGCATCTCACGGTGCTGCTGCATCTCGCGCTGCTGCTGCATCTCGCGCTGCTGCTGGATCTCGCGCTGCTGCTGGATCTCGCGCTGCTGCTGGATCATCTGCTGTTCGCGGTGCTGGGCGGGGATCTGCATGGGCACATCGTCGGCCACGTGGATCTCGCGGAAGGGCAGCTGCTGCATGTGGATGCGCAGGGTCTGGATCTTGGGCTGCTGCTGCTGCTGCTCCTCGGAGGACTCCATGCGCGGGGCCTGCATCACCTGCGGGGGCATGGGGGGACGCATGGGCAGGTGCTGGAACGGGGGCGGCAGCTGGCGGATGATGATCGGTCCCTGCTGCTGGGGCAGCTGCTGGTGCTGGTGCATCTGCATGGCCGGCGGCATCATGCGCTGGGGCATGTGGGTCAGTGGCATCTGGTCGGGCATGCGGCCGAAGGGAATGGGCACGCGCTGGAATGGAATGAACATGGGACGCAGGGGCTCGGAATCCTCGTCAGAGTCCTCCTCCTCCTCCCGCTGCCGCTTGGCCTCCTTCTCCTCCCGACTGGCCTCGTCTCCGCCATCGCAGAAGATCGAAATGCGCTCCCCGGTGATGCGGGCCTTCTTGGGATCTGTCGTCAGATTCACGCCGAATGGCAGGGCCACCGTCTTCGAGGGCGAGTCGACAATCTCCTCGGCATGCTTGCGCTCCACCACGCAGTTCATGCGGGATCTATAGACAGGATCATGGGGTCATAAAAAGACTCAGGCCTTAACAAACCAAAAAAAAACAAAACCTACTTCTTGTTGTTCCGCAGAATGGCGGCTGCCAGGTCGCTCAAGTCCAGCTCGAGCGGCATTTTGCCGGGCAACTTCTGCAGCTCGTCGGTCTCATCGCTCTCCGAATAGGAGTTGTCCTTGTCCGAGGTGTTGTCCTTGTCCAAAGAGTCATCCTTGGCCGACTTGCGCATATCCTGGTCGAGATCTTGCAGCTCAGAATCATCGGCAGAGTTGGGTCCGCCCAGGAGAGGTTCAGCGCGGGGGAGTTCCTGAAAAGATGCCAAATAAAACGGGGGACAATTAGATGACGACCTTTACTCCTTGCTTTATCTACTTGGAA